ACACACACACACACACACACACACACACACACACACACACAAACTAGATTTATTACATTCTTTAATATGTGTGTGTTTGTTCTCAGGGAAACAGAAACACGCTCTGTCGGCTCTGGACGTGTTGGAGGCGGCGAACACTGAGTCCATCGACCTGGACAATCTGAAACTGCTGCAGGTAAATCTGACCTATGACCTCTGCCACAATCATCCTGTGGATCAAACCAAACGGTTCCTCTGGAACATTTTTCTCTCCCAAGTTGAGTGTGTTTGATGACATCACTGTGACATCATCAGGGTATGAGCCTTGAAAACTCCAGAACCAAAACCAGATGATATAACTGTTTTCATACGAAAGAGGAATTGACCGATTTTGTCAAGTAAAACTGTTCAAGTGTCCGTTTCTAACAAAGCTCACAACAACCTGAATGTCTGAGGATGATGAACTGAACCCTGAGGAACACCTTGACTCCATCTCTCTGTTTGTCTGTCCTTCTCCCTGACAGCTGATTGGTCGAGGTCGTTACGGCGCAGTGTTTCGTGGCAGTCTTAACGAGCGCTGTGTTGCTGTCAAACTCTTCAGCTCGGCTAACCGACAGAACTTTGCTAACGAGTGCTCGATCTACTGCCTCCCTCTTCTGCGGCAGCACAACAACATCAGCCGCTTCCTGACTGCCGATGAGAGGACGACGGCTGACGGACAGCCAGAGTTCCTGATCGTCATGGAGTACTATCCACATGTAAGAGTTAAACGTGAATGCTAACTTTAGCTTCATTTGTTGAAGCCTGATGAATTGTCTGAACTTCCAAAACTTGCTTCGCTGTCGTCTTGACTGAATTAACATCGGATCTGTGATTTTAAATAGCAACACAAGATTTTGAACATAATCAAATCACTGAAAATAAGAAATAATGTCTTTTTAATGTTCCTGCAATTGTTTAACCAACTACTGATCAACTTTCATTTTCAAATGTATAAAAATGATCCGTTTTGAGAAGCTCAGCCTCGGTCACGTCCACGACTGCATTAGTCTTGTTATTGTGCCGGAAGAAGAGACTACGCCTACTGCTTCCTGTCTGGAGAAACACACACACTCTCACTCACACACA